ATCATGTAGGAAAACTTTTAGGTTTGAGTAATAAAAAATGGAAAAGCCATCTATTGAAAACATTAGGAGGTTTACCTTTCTCTTGGAAGGAGAAGTCCAAAGATAGATTATGCAAGGCAAATGTGGCAGTTTTATGAGATTGTCAAGGAACTGGGCTCCTTTTGACTCTCGGCTCTGTCCTTCTTAGTGTGTGACCGTGTATGGTCTTCCGTGATTCATGCGGTCCAAGATAGCCACTTCCGCCTTCAGCTCCACATCTTAGTTCAGACAAGAGGAGTCATGATGTACAAAAGGCCAGGTTCTTCCCAGGGACATGTTCTTCAGCCTTAAGAGCCAGAGCTGTAACACTGTTTACAGCTTCAAGTGAGGCTGAGAAATGCCGTTTCATCTGTGGGTAAAGAAGGGGAGACTGGATATCAGGCGCCTGAAAACTTGCTTGAAAACTTCTCCTTCACCTGTGCCTGGGCCTGTCCTTGCTGTCTACTATTTGAACACGGATCCTCTAATAGTCTCCGAAATTTCAAGGCAATTTTTTTTAAGGTAACATTTGTAATTTAGAAGAAGGAAGCATACATTCTGGAGACGTTCTAAACATAACAATCATGACTTTAAAATCCAGAGTGATGATTATTAACCTTGTTGAGTGGAAAATTTCTTTTAAAAATAAAATAAATTATGAGGTCCCACATATGAGACTAAATATAAGTAACTTACTAGTTGACAAAAAGGTATCCTTGATTTAGTAATTTTCATTCCACTAATAATAATGCTTGTATACCCAGAAGGATTTTCAAGCAGACTTTTTGCACTAACTCAGTGTTTCTGCCCTCCATCCATGCCTCCATCCCCTGCCCATCTAGATGTTTGCAGCCATGATTAGGGTACCATGCTTGGATGGGTAAGACCCTGATGGACTCCCCGATTGTCAGCACTTTTAACAGAGAGATGAATGGAGAACAGCAAGAATTGCCTCTTCATTTTATATTCAGGGCTGGCTTCAGTCAGATCCAACATCCTGCTAGAAGTTCTGATATTCTCATGCCTTTAGTAGCTAGGTAATCTCAAGATGGTCTGGTTAAATGAGAAAAAGAAAAGAGAGAGAGAGAGAGAGAAAACATCTGAACAAGCTTATGCCGTTATCCTATTTCTCTCTGCTAGTGACTATCCACAGGTATTCAATAATCATCGGCTCCACCCCAGAAGTTCTGGGTTGTTCTCCATGAGTAGTGTCCAGCAAGCCCACTTTCTTTCTCCGGGACACTCCAGGGTTTGTCGTGTTGCCTCTTCTATGGTGTGCATCACTCTGCCCAAAACCCCATGTGGATATTGTTCTTGGGATTTTCCTTGGTCCCTTACTCATATCCCACCTCAATCCTCCCCGTAACCCAATCTTCTGCTGCCCCTTAAGCTCTGCTAGGGAAGAAGAAAAGTTAAGATAGTCATAATGGTTTAGATGGTTTTATAGTGATTTATAATCTACAAAACATTATCTCATTTAGCTTCCATAATAATCTTTTTTTTTTCTTTAGTTGTAGGTGGACACAATACCTTTTTTTATTTTTATGTGGTGTTGAGGATTGAACCCACTTCCTCACTCATACTAGGCAATCACTCCACTGCTGAGCCACAACCCCAGCCCCATAACAATCTTTTAAGGTTAACATAACCCCCTACGTTGTAGAGGCAGAAAGGAAGAATGGGTTCACGTAGCTGATGAGTGGCCAGGCTGGAAGCTGTCTGGCTGAAGGTCATCATTCCCCCACCTCCGCCCTCACCACTAACACCTTAACATGTTACCTCCCCAAATGACACGTCATTCCCTGTCCAGGCATATTTTACCTCAGACTGGCTGGAAGTCAGAAGGAATTTCAAGAAAATGAACATTGGATAAATATTAAGGGTGTGAGGGAGATGGAAATTTCTGGGGCATAAAGGGAAGCTAAAGATAGGATCAAAGGGGAAGAAGAGGGTGTTGGCATTGAGATATGTGAAGTCTGTGTAAGATGCAGTCAGCATCTTTACCCCTCTACAAGAAGACAAGGCAACTTCCATCTTCAAAGGGCATTGTTCAGGGAAGTTAGCACAAATAGCATGAACAGAAGAACACAGTGTACTTAAGGTGAGTTTGTGTGTCTCAATGAGTATAATTACCTTTTCAATAAAATGAGTTTTAAGTTTATAGCTCTAGGGGCAGATTTTTATGTTGTATATTCATTTTTATAAATAAAATATTTATACATAATATGCATTTACTAAATGCATATATGCTAACTATTTTAACTAGTACATGTGTGCTATAACTTATACAAATCCATATACAATATCTATTTTTTTCCTTTTTTTTTCAATATCTATTTTTAAGTAACATACACAACTAAAATAATTGAAAATGTACTACCCAATAGTTACATGGTTTTAAGACATGATCCACGCCTGCTGTCAGTTTTTCTTTTTGTTCTTTTTTTATATTATAAAATTCACCATTCAGTGTATAAAATTCAGTGTTATAAAAAATTTATTCACAAGGTTATAGAACCAACATCATTAATTCCAGAAAAAAATTTCATTAATTTTTAATTGTGCATTATAATTAAAGATAATAGTGGGATTCATTATGCCATATTCATACATGCATAAAATATAATTTGATCAGTCTCATTCCTCAGTGCCTCCTCTTTCCCTCCTCTCCTGCATCCCCGAAACTGTTTGCTCTACATTTTTACCCCCCAAGGAAACCTACCGTTAACAGTCATTCTCCATTCTCCCCTTCCACTAACCTCCGACAAACACCAACCTACTTTCTTTGTATGAATGTGACTATTCTGTATACTTCATAAAAATAGAATCATATGACATGCCATCTTCTGTGTCTGGTATCTTTCATTTAGCCTAATGTTTCAAGCTTCATTGAAGTCAGTACTACATTCCTTTTTTATTGCTGAGTAATGTTCTATTGTGTGGTTATACCAAATTTTGTATTCATTCATCACTTGATAGGCATTTGGATTATTTCCACTTTGGGGCCACTGCTAATAATACTGCTGTGATTATTCATGTACAAGTTTTTGTGTGGAAATATTTATAATCAAGGTAAAATACAAAGAAAGTTGTTCGTTGAGAATCTTTCTGCTGCAGTGATTCCTTTAGTGACTACCCTGGGTCTCCTGGTGCCATGCATCAGGGTCAAAGTTTATAGCACTTCCAAGGAGTGAGATATCAAAGGTCAGGCAGGACCCTGATGTTTATCATCCCTCTAATACCTGGGTACCCATTTAGTCTTGAAGTGACTCATGATGAGCACTATTGCTGCTTGCTGAGATAAGGGTTGGCTTTGGTTTAGAAACCTAACTGCCTTTTAGCACCTTGAGCAAGTTACATACTGTCCCTGACCTTCAGATGTTTTGTTTGGGAGTTGGAGGTCATAATAGTGAGGTCACAGAGTTCATGTGAAAATGAGAGCTGATGCCTGTGAGGGGCCTTATTCAAAGCAGGAACTCAACAAACAGATATTTATGCTATTAATAATTGCCTTGTGAATAGGGCAACTGAAGAAACAAAGGAAAGGGACAGTATAGCACAGAGCTCTATGAGCAATTTTGCTACTTCAGAAATGTTTAAATCACATTTCCATAAGGACTGTATCAGTTTGCAAGAGCTGCCGTAACAAAATACCACACATTGACTGGACGACTCAAACAACAGAAATTTGTCTAACAGTTCTGGAGCCTATAAATCCAAGATCAAGTTGCCAGTAGGTTTGGTTCCACCGAGATTTTTTTCCCTGGGGTTTCAGATGGCTGGTTCTTGCTGGGCCCTCACCTGACCTTTTCTCTGATGTCTCTTTCTGTGTCCAAATTATTCTTATAAAGTCATCAGTCAGATTGCATTAGTGTCCACCCCAAGGGCCTCATTCTAACTTACTTCTTTAAAGACACTATTTCCAAATACAATCACATTTTAAGGTTTTAGATTTTGATACATGAATTTTGGAGGATGCTATTCCATTGTCAGACACTGGGAACAAAAGAGACTTAGACCCTGCCCACTGAAAACCTGATCTCTTAGGAGAGACAGACAAATAAGGGGTAATTGTAAAATGCTTTTTCTCCAAATACCCTGGCCCCTGTCCCACGATTAGATTTGCAGTCTCTGCAAATTTATCATCCAATATACAGTTGACATTTTGGTTGCCTCAGAATTCTAGTTCAAACCTCTGAGAATGTTCTAGGTCTTCATCAGCTAAGAGGAATAGAATTTATCAGAGCCCATTAACAGCCAGAAACAGGTGGGTCAAGAAGCAGACTCAGACTGAGGCAAAATTAACCAATAGTTAAGGCATGTTTGTCTTCAGCTGCCTCTTTACTTCCCCTTCCTGCCAAAGTCTAATCAACCTCCAAACCCAGCCAGGGCCACCCCACACCCCTTACATGTCCATATGCCCAAGTTCAAGTCTGTTCCTTGCCTTCCCACTCCCAACCCTCTCTCTCACATTTTTGCTTTCTGCTTTCCAAGGTGAGAGAGGCATGCAGTTAAGAATTATTGAGCACCTACTGTGTACTGGGCAATAACTAGGTACTTTACGTATGTCTCCACTTGGTCCTCATAATAGTTCTATTTCACTTCATTGTTTAGATGAGGGACTGAGCTAATAACATTCCCAAGGTGACACAGTCAGAAAATAGGACCATTTAAATGCAGATCCTTCCAACTCCACTAAGACCATTCAGCTCTCAGAAACTGAAGATGATTCAACCAACTGCTTGTCATACAATATTGGGGACACTAAACATCCCAGGCCTCATTTTCTCTATTTGTAAAATAAATTAATTGGAATAGATGAATTCTCAGGTCCTTACAGGGTACTTTATGTAGTATATGGATTGTACTATATCATATAGCTTTGTCAATGTCATTGAAAAATATGCCTTAGTAATGAAATACTCAGTTACAGATTATTAATGTCATTGCTGTGCTTTCTCACATTCCCATTTTTATTTTAGATCCTTACTGGAAGGCAGCATGTCTGATTTTCCCATGAGAAAAAAGTCACCCACAGGAAATGGTAATTTAGACAATGATTCCTTTGCTCAACAAAACCTCTAAAATCTAGGAAAAACAACTCATAGTTTTAAATATAGGTATTCAATGCTTGTAAGTAGCAGTCGAATCAGCTTTGCTTAATTTAAGCTTAAGAACAAGCAAGAAGGGGCTGAGGCTGTAGCTCAATGATAAGAGCGCTTGCCTAGCACATGTGAGGCACTGGATTCGATCCTCAGTACCACATAAAAATAAATAAATAAAATAAAGGTATTATGTCCATCATAATAAAAATATATACATATAAAAATATAAAAATGTATATTTATATTTGTATATATACAACTAAAAATATATACATATAAAAAAGAACAGGTGCTATAGTTTTTCATCATATAATTGTAATTTAAAGATTCTTAAAAAAAAGTCCTTCTTTGAGGGTGACATTCCTTCTGGTTCCCAGAAGTTCAAATAATCAAATTACATGTAATCAAATGCACCAGGACTTATTGATTTTAATTTACTGGGTCCTATAAAAACAGTCCTGGGTGTACTTCCGAGACGTATTTCTTGTTGGGTCAAAACCCAACCCACTAAGCCCTGGCTTAGTTTATTGCAGGCTGGTGGTTCTACATTCCCAGGCGCTAGATGAGGCCTCGTGAGCCACTCTGGCAGTTTCGCTTGGCACCTGAGCAGATTTATATGTTATCTTTGATGATGGGGTGTGGGATTTGTTCTTTCTTGCTGGTGCGTCCTGCTTTGAAACAGTACTGGCTGATCACATGGACTTCTTGAGATTTTCAGAGTAAATAAACCAATACTCAGCATCACTCTGTCACCTAATTTTTCATGTTTCCACTGATAGATGTGAAGAGCACCACTCGGGGGACCGCACCAAGGCAGCAGGGTTTTCACGAGGTGAACAAAAGAAGGACTTTCTTACAGGACAGCAGCTGGATAAAGAAACGTCTAGAAGAAGAAAAGTAAGTGTAGGGATGTAGGAGTGGGTGGGTGGGTGGATGGATGAGCGGAAAGAGGTGTTCTCTGTTTGGGACTAAGGGGTCATCTGGAAAGCAAGTTTTCTTTAAAACACATGGTTCTAATTTTGGGTGAGATTTAGGAAACATAAATCGGTGGTACCAGATTTTCAAGAATATTTCCTTCATTTTTAATACACTTACACATAAGAGAATGTCAGACACTCCTCAGAGAGAGTATGATTGTCACCTGGAATAGATTTTGGTGTTTCCTTGGTGAACAAAAGAAAACAGGAGTTTCCGGTTTCCAAAAAGCTAACAGTTAATCCATCATCATGAGATTCCTCATGTGTGTTGGTCGTGCCGGTGGAAACAAACACATGGTAGCATTATTCCAAATCCAATAATAATGTATTGCAATTTTCTATGTGTACAATTGAAATTAATTAATAAATCCCCAATTATTTTAGTCCTATCTGCCCCACTTCTAGATATTGGATCCTACTTCTAGATATTGGATGGATGGAAAATGTGGCTTTATTTTATAAGAGAAAACACTTGCCACCTGCAAAGTTTCATCTGCTTTAAGCATTGCTTCTGCCAAAGATCTGGAAACTATGATCATAGGCATACAGCCTCGTTGCCAACACAGATTTATAATAGATATGCATCCATCCCAGATCTTTTTTTATAAATTAGTGGCACATTATAAATTACTCATACACATGTACACATCTTATCATTTCCTTATGTGTTAAGCTTCATACTGGATAATTGACATATTAAGTATCACTGAATCTCACAACAATCTCTCAAGGTAGATATTATATACTCATTTTATAGGAGAGAAATCTCTAGTGAGAGGAAGCCCCATAATTTGTCTGATCGGGCATCATCATTAAGTGGCAGAGTGGAGATCTTAACGTGACCCATTGTCTTTTCATTATACCTGTGTTTCTCAAACAGGGGTGATTTTACCCCCTGGAGACATTGGGCTATGTTAGGAGATACTTTTCATTGTCAAAATTGGGGTGTGTTCTTCACACCCCAATTGGGGTGAGTAGAGGCCAAGAAGGTTGCTAAAGATCCTACAATGCACAGGACAGCTTCCACAATAACATCATTGTCAAACCCCAAATGTCAGTAGCCCTGAATCTGAAAAAAACAGCATTATATGATATGTAATCTAAACCTTCTACAAACTGTCCAAATATGTTTATCTGAGGATCATATTTGTAACTGTTACATTAAAATACCTACTGATTATTGTTACTGAATTTTATTGTTTTGAGGACATATAGGGGCTTGTGGAGACAGATTCACTTTGGAGTTAATACTCTTGGACAACAATTATTCCCTTCCACAAAGCAGCACCTATTGCTTCTGTCAGAGCTTAATATGGCATTTCTATTTTTCTGTAGTGGTAGTGTGATGTCAAGTGTAGATAATAAATTTTGGATTGCAAATATTTACACAGATGGATGAAGACAGAGATGTCTAAGATAAACCACAGTTGGTAGGAATGTTGGTTTTGTGCCAGTCAAACCTCCCTAAAAAGGCCTAAGGAAGCCAGCTGGGAATGGGATGGCAGCTGCTGAGTGAAGGGGAATTTGGCCCTAGTGCCTCCCTGGCTGCTACTGGCCCAGTCCTGGGCTGTGATTCTTTTTCAGGTAAGAACACGCCTGGTGTCTGCTACGCTCTGACTGGTTTTGGAAAGGGATACGAAGAAAGATAGAAATGTCCCCCTTGGGACCTATGAGGGTATATATTTGCTAGGATTGTTTCAGTTTCAATGCTCATCTTTCTTTTTAATTGTCTACTACAGTTCTCTTATAACATTATTAAAAATGGTTCCAGAGTGTTGAGTAATGTCAGTGGAGCCGAATCAGGAAAAATGTAGTGTTTCCTGTTTGGTTGGGTTGACATGAAAGAGGTTCAGGTACTTACTCTCTGCTTTGGCTCCACTCCAAGAGCTCCACTACATGTTTTGACATTTCCTAAAATTGCCCATACATTCAAATGCACTGAGTAAAGTATAATGACATGGCTTTGGGATTTTATGTATAAAGGTTCCTTGCAGAGCTGACCAGAAGAAAAAACAAAGGTTTGGAATGAAAAGATCTGGGTCCTAGACCCACCTTGTCACTTTGCTAATCTTGTGATTTTTAGGAAAGCTACAGTTTACTCTTCAGTGAATTGGAAAGGACAGTGTCTTCCCTGACTAATTCAGAAGGTTATTTTAAGGACCAAAGAGGGCAATATGGGCTCATGGTTCAAGATGGGCTAAATCTCCTATGAATGCTCAGTCTCCTTAGCAACATGTTTTCCTACACTTTGTCAAGGAAATTGTCAAGTCCATCAATTATCCAGACATAAAGGGGTTAATTAAATTTAAACAACATTGGTAGAAATCTTTTGTATTTGCCATCCTATGGAAAAGGACTCTTCTAATATATACAACGTAGGTGGGCTCGTGTTTCCATACTCGGATTAAAAAAATAATAACAACAACAACAACAAAACAGTTGTTCCTTGTTGAATCATGCGGAAGTCTCATGAGATAAATGATCATTTGTACTGACAACTTGTTTCTTTTCACGATGGTCCTGCAAGCAGTGACTGGTTTCATAGTTGTGTTCTTATGCCTAAAGTAAAATGGATTAACCTTGCCAAGATTTGTGAGCTCTCCCCATCTCTCTTGGTTTGTGCTTAGCAAACATGGCAGTAACTTGTGAAGTGACATCATTTTGGTCTTTCTCTGCAGAGATGAAAACTATGGCAGGGTGGTGCTCAACCGACACAACTCCCATGATGCTTTGGACAGGTAGGTGTTTTGATAAGGTATGTTATTAGCAGAAACACAAAGATGGTGGCTCTGAGATGAGACTTGCTCAAGTCAGCCGAATAACTGTGGCTGGCCTCAGGCTGTCCCCAGTGTTCCAGGCATGTGAAGGAGAATCTGGGATATCATCAGGGGTATGGGTGGGGACCTGCTTACCCAGCTCCCAGAACTAAGGCTTAGAGCTGAAACATAATCAGCCACAGCTCATGCCACTAGGATGGTCCTTCTCATGGGCAGGGAAAGGTCTATCATGGAAATAGAAACATAACCAGATGAGCTATCTCTGAGCTTTAGAGAAAGGAATCCTAAAATTCAGAAATAACATTTCCAGAGAGATAGTCCATTTCTTTTTGGAAACTCCTAGGCTTGTGGAAAACACTGATCTATCCTTGATGGCAAGTGAGAAAATTCAGACAAAATTAGTAATTATAATGATTGATGTAAATAGTCTTAGATTGATCAAGAAAGATAATATTCTCATTAAAACACATTTGTACCCACACACATATAAACAACCACACCTATCAGAAGAAGCCAAATATATATCAGAATCAAGTTTCATCTGGTCTAGTAACTTGTGTTTGCTTGTAACTGAGAGGTACTTAGTAAAGAGTGTGGACTGTAGAAAGTGAAGTAGACACCTTGAATCTGTTTTCAAAACTTTTTATCTGTGAATTTCTCTCAACTATTTTTAACCTTTTCATAATTTTGACCTTTCCTAAAGGTGCACAACTTACAACTCTCTATTCAAAGTAGTCATTTTGCTTTCCTGGTGCCATCTGATTTACCCTTCTATGGTCTGGCAGAGTCTCTACCTGTGCCTTCTCATTAGGCTTCCTCATATTGAAGATGTCAGCCTGGTTCTCAGTTGACCCTCATCTCACCAGACACAGGGAGGTTGGCCACCAGTGGAAATTGCTCCCTCCATTTTATTAAGTTTCTCTATAATTATGAAAGAATATGACACTTGGAATGTGACAGTGAAAACTAAGTTTCCTATTCTCAGTATATATACAGTGTGTTTTGGGAGAACAGGAGCCTTGTGCTTTCTGTGTTTACTTTCTATTTTGAATTACATTGATGTGCTAAACCAGTCTTAGTACTTATTCTGACTCCATATCTTTGATCTATCGGCTTCAAATGATGATTTGAAATGTAAATGCAATAAATCACGGCATAATTCCTCAAAGAGCTTGCTTTCCCTGCATCACAGGCTAGATAAGGCAGTAAACAGACTTTCTTTCTGTTTGATCAATTAGATCAAAATATTTTCAGTGCTTTCCTCTGAAAACAATGATTCCTATTGTTAAGGCTGCAGTCCTCTCTGCCTCTATTTTCTTGTCTTCCTTCCCCACTTTTTCCTGCTTGTGTGTCTTTTTCTCTTCTTGCCTCCTCTCCTCCGCATAACTCTTCTCTTCTCTCCTTTCTCTCATCTCTCACTTTCTTCTATCTTTTTTTTCTTTTTGGCCCTGAATGTTTCCTTCTTTTCCTTCTTCCCCATCTCTCCTTTCCAGCTGCCAGTGAGTTATCCTCTTTCAACTCTGTCCACGGTGCTGAATGTTAAATACAGCAATTTAGGAGTTAGCCCATTGTGTGGGCATAGAGCACTGTTAGAACCCTGCAAACAAAACACAGCTGACTATAAAGGAGTTGATTTCCTATTATGCAGAGATTGACAACTTGACAAGAGTTCATATTAGTTATTAACCATTCTGCATGTTTTGTTGTTTGTTGTACATATCCTTGTCCACAACTTGATTATGTTACACTGTAGTTAAAAATAATTGGAGCCACAAGAGAACCTTTTATTATTATTATTCTATCCAAGCCAAAGCCTGGAAGATTTGGGTACTCCAAATCGGCCTTTCCTTTGACAACCTGTACTTTTCCTACCCAAGTAGGTAAAACTATTGCCAAAAGTATGACAGGTTTTATATGCTGTTTTTTTGGTAATTTATCTAATTTATTTGGTAATTATTTCTGTTACAGGAAAATAAATGAGAGAGATGGGCCAAAAGCCACAATTAGTCGGTACAGATCCGATGACACTTTGGACAGGTAAGGTACTTTTGAATCATGTGAGGGGAAAACATTTACACGTGCTTTACATTTAATACTTGTTAACATAATAAATCCCACTTCTTAGAAATCTGTGAGATATTACAATGTTTGCCAAAGTAAGCTTTGAACCTTTGATGTTTTATCTTCAGGGAGACAGGGCTCTAAGGATTAAATTATCTTCTCTAAAACTCACAAAATCTTGCCTAGATATATTGTTTCCTGAGACCCTAGATTTTAGGAAATAGTAGATTCTTCTGAAAGATTCTGAGAGAGTCTGACTTGAGTATAAGTGGGGTGGGCAAGATAAGGCATCTGTTAATTCAATTTAAAATAAAGAACAGTTATTTCTATAAATACAAATAGTCCTTGTTCCTATGTTGGGTTCTTCCATCCTGCTAGAGAGATGTCAGTTTTAAAACTACAGTAGTTTTGATCCACTCTATGACAGACATTAACTCTTTCCAGAGTCACCATATGGCTTATAGAATGAGACCATTACATTGTTCGTTCCCTCTTACATAGAAAAGAAAGGCTGGTCCTATATAGGACATTAAGAAACTTCTAACCAGGTTGAAGTGTAAATTCCACAAGTCATATTTTTCATTTGAAGTTGGTAGAGATGCTTAACAAGCAGAAGTGAAGGCCAACTTTAGCATCTTTAACAGGAGTTAGGCATAATGTACACCTGAGGCTGGTGACAGTTGAGCTCACTCCCTGTAGCTAAAGATGTGCTACCATTGCAGAAAAAAAGACATGTCCAGGGTTTTAAACAGATATACTGAAACTTACAGCATCTAGTACTTGGAATTCAGACTATGCCAGTCCATATTAATACAGCAAATGTATATATTTTTATATTATTCATAGACTTTTAAGTCAGTCCTCCTAATAGAGGACTCCTAATATCATCACTGGTATCCTAAAGAGTTGGCCTCTCTCTTCTTTTAATTATTAGACTCATCAAAAATAACCTCATAAAAGTATATGTTCAAGATTTCATCTGCAAACCAGTTTACAGAGAAGAGGTAGAGAAAATACCTTTGTTTATTCACCCTGGCCTTTTGGATTGTCCTATTGCCCAGTTAATTGAAGCAGGAAACTGTGTTTCTAGGAATGAATTTTTAAAATGTGGTGATTAAGCCTCAGTAAAGGTAGATATGTAGAAGATCCATGCTTTTGTAGTCTTCGTATCAGAAAGTTCAGGTCAAGATCCAGACCTCAACTTTGTGAGTAAAGACAGGGATTTGAGCAATGAATTAGATCTCCCAGGCAAACTAATTGAATCATTCTGGGCCTTGGCAGCAAATTAGCAACACCAAGGGAACTTTTAAACTTTACTTGGTCTTACTGCCCTCATTCCCCCAAATTCTTTTAATTAACCTGATTCATTTCCAACTGATTCTAATGTGCAACCAAGATTCAGAAACACCAGTGTAGTCCAGACTCTTCATTTTATATGCTAGCAAATGGGACTAGAGATTATGTGATAATTTAATTACCCAAAGATTTAGTAACACATTTGGAAGAAGTATCCTGGTTAGCTTATTTCTAAGGCAATAAGTATGGAAATAGGAGGAAGAGAACACAGGGTCAATAAAGAAAGACAAGTTCTGTTAGCAGAAGTGAGACTTACATCATGTAGCCCGCTCCAAAATGCAAGATGTGAAATATTTCAGGAGGAATTTGATCATATATATGCAGTATGTGTGCATGTGCATTTTATTAATGATTATTAATTTTAATGAATACAAAAAGTATTGAGTTTAGACTTCCAAGAATTTCCTTTTAAATTGGCATATATTGCATATATGATACATATTTCTTTAAATATGCATATGTATGGGTACATATATGGAATATGCTAAAGAAACATAAGTATATAATAGTGGATGTAGCACTAAGATATTGTCCAAATCCTGAAGGTGATTTAATGACTAATTTGGAAACCCAAGGTTATGGAGCCCCCTAGTGTTCCTTTGTGGAGGATTTTTTTAAGCTCTTGATCATATTGCTAATTCTATTGTTTATTTTCTGTCTCCCAGACCCATTCCTATTAAAATAACCTATTTCATACCACAAGTTGGCAAAAGATCAATTTCCAGAAGAAATACAAAGTTAATCTCTCTCAGCAATAAGAAATTGACATATGTTAGAATGGTACTTGAGAGGTCTCTTCATTACTCTTTTTTTAAAATTATAGATGGACACAATATCTTTATTTTGTTTAGTTATTTTTATATGATGCTGAGGATCAAATCCAGTGCCTCACGTGTGCGAGGCAAGCGCTCTGCTACTGAGCCACAATCCACCTCCCTCCATTACTCTTGATCACTTCTCCCCCTAGTGGCATGGAAGAGACTGTGATAAATGAAGAATAATGAAGATGTGGTAATCTTATATGAGTTTTAGGGACAGTCATCCTGTCTGAATGAGATGTGCAATACTGGGCTCCAGTGAGAAGAGTTTGGAGACAGACTGCTTCCTGGTCGTATGGCCAAGAAAAAGTCACCCAACTTCTCTGAGACCCTGTTTCTTCATCTATAAAATGAAAATAATCACCCCTACTTTGCAGGGGTAATTCTATTCTCTGAAGAGCAGAAAAAAATTATGAAAAGGTCAGCAGAGAGTAGGTAGTTATTTTTATGATGACATGTAGGATTAACCCACACAGATTTACATGTGGAATTTTCATTAAGTTCATTTAATTTTAACATCAGAATTCACCTTGAGAACATTTAATATTAAGGTTCCATTCACTTTCAGCAGATTATTGTTTTCCGTGTAGCAATTTCCTGAGATTATTTTTTTTAACTTTTATTGGGATCACAGAGACAGCTGCAAAGTCTGAGTAGAGGTTCGTTCCCATGGAACCTCTAAGAATTCTGATCACCTGACCTCTCACTTGTGGTATGCATGGTGATTTACTGCAAAGCACTTGAAATCTAAATCTCTCAGAAGTTCAGAGTCTTCAATTAGTGCAGGGAATGGTCCCTGACTTAGGCTCGAAGATCACCTAAGACATGAGTTTTTGTACCTGATTCTAGGATTCTGTACAAGTTACTGACTGTATTATTAACAGTCTGTGGAGACTGTGGTGCTTTGGAGTGTTACAGCTAGTTATTCATCTTTCCTTTTTGCATTCAAGATTTATCAGCTTGTGGTGTTATGTATCCCAAACAGACACTGTGTTCAGGTGGACTCAGAAGTTTAATATATTAGAGTAATTGCCCCAAAATTTAGTTAGGTATGTCAAAATAAATTGATATTATCTTTAGCTTATGACAATGAAGTTGTATTTTTCCCACATGACCTTTTCTTTCAGAGAGAGGCGAAATCATTATCCATTTTAGCAGGAATATTTTATATAAAGTCTTGTCCTAGAGTGGATAATAAGAACAAAAGATTTTGGAGAGTTATAGTAGGCCCAGAATGTAGGATAAATGGAAGAATCTTGCTGACCTTTCATTTTTCTGAACCTCACTTTGCTATATCCTAGTTTCTGCAGATCTGCAGAATGTTCCAGAACTCAGCCCTGGGTCCTAGAAGGAATGTTCCTATCTGACATGAGGCAGGCAAGGATGGAACAGAGTCTGTAGTCAGAGATTCCAGATTTGTGCTTCCTCACCCAAGGGGTAGACAAATATACCTTTTCCAGATCTAAGAAGGTCTTTAAGGAGACCTAAGATTATAGGAGTTAAAACCTCTGATATATTGGTCAAAGTAATTATCTTGTCAAGATAGAGTAACTATTTTAACAAGCCCCCCATCCCCAAATATAGGTGGTTTAACACAATAGAAGGTATCATTTGACTCACCAGAGTCTTATGGGCTTTGCTGAATCCATGCAGTGACTTCTGGACTTCTTTCATTGAATTCTTTCAATTCCTACAGTGTTTTAATGCTGCCATCTTCAACCTATGGATATCATGGCTTTGGTACCATGGCTTTGAAAGGGAAAGAATTAGCATGAAAAATTATGCAGGAGATTTTATGATGGGTTTGGAGGTGGCAAATAATATTTGTGTCCACACTAGTGGCTCCAACTTAATTGCAATTGAAGTTGGTAAATGTGGTCCTCCTGTGCATTCAGGAGGTAAAGAAAATGAGTCTGGCAAACAGAGTATTTTCTATGCCTCAAAATGATTTCAAAAAATACTTAAGTATTTCATTGATGCCTTTTACTGACATAAGAAGTATTTTTATTATCTAGATATATTATTAAATAGCAAAGAAAATAAAAATAATTAATGAGTTAAATGCTTAATGAGTCCCAAAAGAAAATGTGCAAAAGGCATCATACTTTAAAAATTCTAAATAGCCTCATAAGTAGATTTTGTCATGAGTAGCTTTTTGCTTTTTTACTGTAAAAATTTCTAAAATGTAACAACTGAAAAATTGTTCTTCACAAGAGAAAGATTATGTTGTAAAGTCACTCTAACATCAAAGAGGTCTGAATGGAACTTAATAACCTGAATGTTTATCTAGACTTTTGTGTTGTTTCTTTATAAAGGATTTCAGACAGAGATGATGCTGCTAAAACATATAAGGCCAATACCTTGGATAACCAACTAACCAATAGGTACCAGTGTCCAGTAACTTTGGGAAAGTCTTGAGTGCAACCTTTTTTCTCACTTACCTAAGTTCTTCAATCTTACTTTAATGTCTTTCTGTAAATTCTTATTCTCTGTATTTTTAACACAGAATTTCTGGAGTAAAAAACTTTTCTCCTGTTCTTAACTAGAATAAAATGTTGCCTGGCTTAAAAAATCAAGGCTTATTGCTACAGGCCATCGATCTTACCACATGGATGTTACTGTTTAAGGTGTCTTGGTGACAGGGATGAAATACATGCAAAAGCAAATTTTGCATTCTTATACTAAAGAAAAAAATCACTGAACCCAACATATTAAGAACATTGGATTTAACCAATACTGAATTTTCCAAAGGGGGGGGGGAATTTTCCTTTGAAATCTAGTACAACAGATTTTTTTTAAATGATAAAATCACTTTATCAAATTTATTCCAATGCTGATGCTTTCTTTTAATTTCTATGAAATAATATCTAATTTTTCATTGTAATTACTCTAAATTTGTGGACAATTACCAATAGATGCAAATATTAATTAATTCTTCACTGTGTTTTTTTTTTCTTTTATCAGAAGCTTGTCTACATTTAGATCATCAGGAACAAACACATTGTATGTACTTTTCTCTTTCCTCTTGTGTGTGTGTGTGTGTGTGTGTGTGTGTGTATGTGTGCGCGCGCTAGAGATGGAACCCAGGGCCTCATATATGTTAGGCAAATGCTCTACCACTACACTGTGCTACATTCCCCAACTAGTATGTATTTTTCTAATCAAAGTATTATTTTAGTTCAAGAAAAACCCAGGATATAGCATCCCAGCCCCAGGCCAAAGTGTCATTGGAATACAGCCACAACCCTGTGGCTTTGGCAGAGGTAGTGGTGGAACACAGATACCAAAATGGTCCACATTCATATATTTACTGGCTGGACTTTTACTGAACAAGTTTGTTGACCATCATGCTAACCAAACACCAAAGTTTAGGCTATGTCTTTGTCTTTTTCAAAAGATCTAGACTCCTCCCCCATAGAACTATTTTATCCCCCCATTCCTATGGCACCCAACTCTTTCCTCCCCTGAACCTCCCTGTCATCCCTAAACCCCCTCACATCTACAACTCCTCCTTCAGAGCAAATTGAGCCTGAAATCATGGGCCTGCCTAAAATCCACTTACATAAAATACATTTTCCCTGTCATGTATTACTAGTTGTTATAAGTAATTCAAATTAGGTAGACAGTTAAACTTAGTTTTTAAATGTGTATTTATATACAAACTAATTTTCATGTTGGACAGTATTTCTCAGTACTTGACACAAGCCTGAGTAATTTCCATTTTTTGAGGGTCTGCATATATTAAAATGCTAGCTGAAGATTTAAAATGATATGACTTAAATTTTTTCTTAAACAAACCAAGACTTTTAATGTAAAATTGCAGTATAATTCTGTTAGTCACAATGTAATCATGAGATTTAAAAAAAAAATGAGTCCATAGCATGCTACAGTTGATTGGCCTGAGGGGCTGGGGTTGTAGTTTAGTTGGTAGAGTGCCTGCCTTGAGTGTATAAGGCCCTGGGTTCAATCCCCAGCGCTGCCAAGAAAAAAAAAATCGATTGGCCTGACTTTTAGACAATTAATACCATATGTAAATTACTTCTTCATTCAGAATCTTCAGTTTTTAACTAGTTATATGATATTCTGATAACTGATCATATAGATAAAGTAAGGAAGAACATTTTTTTTTTATTTTTTGGTCAGAGCTGGGGATTGAACCCAGAGCCTTGTGCATGTGAGGCAAGCACTCTACCACCTGAGCCATATCCCCAGCCCCCATAAGGAAGAAAATTTTAAAATTATCCATCTTCAATTGAAGCATTATGTAGAGGATAGAGAGTGAGCTGGAATATGAGTAGATTAACAGACATTTCAAAGGTGGGAAGAAAGAACAGGTTTGAGGAATGTAATGATTTGTCATTCTGGTTGTTCCAAAGGCCACATGGTGGTTTACTGAGTGCAAGCAGGACCTACACCTCATCTTCTACCCCCGCTACTACTCCTGTGAAGAAAAAGAGGTATGAAGGGCTCTGTGTCTGCCTCCTTGCAAAGGACTGTTCTTCATCAATTTTCTTTTTGTTGTTAATCCACTTTATTTTCTAAAGTAGAGCTTTATAGTTATTCATAGTAGTTGGGTTCATCCTGACAAACTCATACATGCATGGGATTCGATTCCAGTTCATGGTTTTCCCCTTTGCCTTCCTGTCCTGCCTCCCCTTCCCCAGTCTCCTTCCTCTACTTGGTTAGACTTCCTTTCATTTATCTATTTATTTATATTTGATTGAATCTTTTTACTTATGCATAAAGGTGAAATTCCCTGAGGTATATTTACATATGCACATAACAAGATTTTTTTAAAAAATCATCCTGCATTGCCTCCTTACCCATCCCTCCACTCTACCTCTCCATCTCTTTTTTCATTAATTTTGGAACCAAATCTACCTCCCGGGTTCCCAACCAGTATTGGGAAGGCTCTTCCGTGTTCTCTCCCCTCCTTCTAGGGTTCTGCATCTACATTCTGCCATTCTCAAACTTTAGTTGCCCTCCCTAATCTCTTCAAATAATACTCCATTCCCTTGGGGCCTTGACCTCAGAAGTCACAGGGTTGGCTGCTTCAGGTACCATATTTTATAAAGTTTGACTACAGGGAGTACCTTAACCTGAAATAATGATTGACATAGAGCCACTCCATGTTGTCCTCCTGAAACCAGCCCGCACCTGTAGCCACCCCCACCTCTCTGTAGACTTGGCTGATTTTCCTTCTAAGTACAGAGTCAAAGACCCTCTTGGGAGACATCTCTTTGTGATTTTTGCCTCCTGCTTGGCTTCCCCTGAGTGGCCTTTAACATGCTGTTTGGGGTGCATTCTGTGTTGTCTGCTAGGCATGGAGAAGAGAGATCTGTGATGACAGAATATTCTACATGAGACAGAGCATGAAGGTGGAAGATATTTTTGCATGTTGAAATGAACAGTGCCAGGGAATCGTGATGCAAATGGAAAATAAGTGTCCTAAGCGTCAGTGCTTTAAAATTTTTCTGTTTTCTTTGCTGTGCCTGCACCCAGGACCCTGCTTGGTGTAGGATAGATGTTCCATGTTTGTTGAAGGACTAGCTGGGTTTGCCATGGTGCCATTGTAGGGAGAGATAACTGTCTTTATCTTCCCTGTAGTCACAGAGTTCTGGTTGTATCTGCAGAATCTCAGAAAATATGATCCATCTTTTACCTGAACCCAAACTTCATACCCACTCCACCCTTGGTCTGTTAAAAAACAGATTTATAAGGTATTAAGAGAAACTTAAGATGGGTTTGTTCAATGTTATATCCAGGGCAAGTATCTTTCCTCCAACAGATTAGACTTTTTTTTTATTTTTTTTATTTTATTTTTTTTATTGTTGGTTGTTCAAAACATTACATAGTTCTTGATATATCATCTTTCACACTTTGCTTCAAGTGGGTTATGAACTCCCATTTTTAGCCCATATACAGATTGCAGAATCACATCAATTACACATCCATTGATTTACATATTGCCATACTAGTGACTGTCATGTTCTGCTACCTTTCCTATCCTCTACTATCCCCCCTCCCCTCCCCTCCCCACCCCTCTTCTCTCTCTACCCCCTCTATTGACCTTCATTTCTCCCCCTTGTATTATTTTTCCCTTTCCCCTCATTTCCTCTTGTATGTTCTTTTGTATAACCCTGAGGGTCTCCTTCCATTTCCATGCAATTTCCCTTTTCTCTCCCTTTCCCTCCCACCTCTCATCTCTGTTTAATGTTAATCTTCTTCTCATGCTCTTCGTCCCTACTCTGTTCTTAGTTACTCTCCTTATATCAAAGAAGACATTTGGCATTTGCTTTTTAGGGATTGGCTAGCTTCACTTAGCATAATCTGCTCTAGTGCCATCCATTTCCCTGCAAATTCTATGATTTTTGTCATTTTTTAATGCGGAGTAATACTCCATTGTGTATAAATGCCACATTTTTTTAATCCATTCGTCTATTGAAGGGCATCTGGGTTGGTTCCAAAGTCTTGCTATTGTGAATTGAGCTGCTATGAACATCGATGTAGCAGTGTCCCTGTAGCATGCTCTTTTTAGGTCTTTAGGGAGATTAGACTTGATTCAGGACCACTGAAGCCAGCAAAGAGACTCCACTGTTTTGTGAAGCACCGCTGACTGCTCTTTAGGGGGCATCGATCCCCTGCATGGAGCTGAAATCTGTCTTGCTTGACTCCCACCTGGTCTTAGTCCTGGACTTACTTAAAGAATAAATCCAGCTCAGTCTGTTCCTTTTATCTTGGGCTTTTCTTCTCTCATCCACATCACTCTCTGTATATCTTCATTTCTGGTCCTTATCTTAGTGTTTTTGACAGAGACCTTAGCTATTGCTACTAATTAAAATTACTTCCTTATAATGTGAGGACATCTTTCTAACTAAGATAATGTTAGCATTGCTCTGGTATTCTTTCATGTTTTCAATATTCTTGCCCAAGTTTTTTTTATCATACTTTTTAAAAGAAATCATAATTTAAGTAGACTATAAGACTGTTATTCTATTATGAAATCGTTCAGCTAGGAAAAAAATAGGGGAATAGCAAAATAAACACCCATGAACCTACTATCTACATTTGATAATTGCTGTTCTTTTCCAGTCTCTTCAGATTTCTTTTGCAAGACACGTCCACATTGTTCAGTGTCAAAGGAAATGGGAAAAGGAGTTTACTTGGGGGAGCAGATAGCCTGGAATATAGACAGCCACTTCTTATTTTATTTATGAAACAGTGTTCATTTTATTTCCAAGGCCTTCTGTAAAAAGTAATTCCATGGCCTTTTTAACCATCGAATTATTTTAAGCTTTTTCTGACAGACACGGGGGTAGGCTCAGCCTTCAAGCACCATGTTTATAACTGATATCATTTTTTCACAGACAGTCCTGGTTTCCGCCACCCCCTCCTGGTTATAGTGCCACCCCAAGCATAGAAGCCAACAAAAGGTAAGGGCACACTGTTAGATGTCACTGCTATGGTGCTGGGTTGAAGAATATGTCAAACACTGATAACATATAATTATGGATGCTTTGGAATAATTTTGAAGGCAATTTTGTGGACTCCGAGCTCTGAATGTGCATGTGCCAAGTGAAGTCAGGACTACAGGTGCCCCAGGGTAGAAAAGCTGACATGTTATTAAGAGTAAATAGGTGGCTGTAGTGGTTGGCTAGGGTCATCATAAAAAAGGGCCACACACTAGGTGGTTTAAACAACAAAAATAGATTTCCTCAGATATCTGGAGGCTAGAAGTCCAAGATCAAGCTGTCAGCAGGGTTGGCTCCTTCAGAGACAGTGAGAGTTTCTTTTATGTTCTCCTGTCAATGCTGGTGGCTTCCTGAACAATCTCTGATATTCTTATCATTGTGTCTGTCTTTCATATAGAATGTAATACATAGAACACTAAATCAAATTACTGAACATGTTAAGCAGTTGCAGTTTGGAATCAGTTAAAATATTTTCTTTTTAAACTGGTCCAACTGAAGTTGACTTCTAGTTATATGAACTACTAAGTATAGATTATATTTTTAGTTTAAAATGTCCCTTCCCCTCAGACTATTATTAGACATTTCTCTATGGGTGACATCTTTCATGGAGCTACCCAAGTGGGAAAATGTGAACTAAGTGTTCTGCTAGTGACAAATTTTTTTTTTAAGTCTTATAAAATCCATCCAATTTTGTCTTGATAGACAATCGCTGGCACTTTTCCTTAGAAATATTTATTACTTATTTCCAAAATAACTTCTTATTTTTGTCCTCTATTCATTCTCCCAATATTAATGTAAATTATCACTATAATAGGCAACTGGTTATATAACTGTAAAAGTATGCAAGGATTATTCATGAGTTAGCCTCTCATGCTTCAATGCCTGTTGAGTTTGTGGATCTCTGTTTGCACAAAAATGTCAGTGCTTAGCTCTAAGCTCTCCCAATTTATGCATTGCTGGATGCGATTTATATGAAAGATGAAATGACTTACAACGCTCCTATTTTTGGTTCCTGGTTTACATCCATAACATTAGAATGAGGAAAAAGAGATTATTGGGCTTTGCTGATCAATTTAGATATTCAATCCTATTTTTAGAGTCACAGATTATTAGTATAATGACTGAATCGAAAGACTTCTTTCTGAGAATCAGAGATAATGTCACGCCAAGCTTTCAGGGGAAGGAGAGAATCCTAACAATTTAGCAATAGCTTTGATTTCTAAAGTGCTTTTCTTTGGAAGAGCTCAACGTGCAGCTTCTGTTTCTCACCTTTACTGCCACTGCATTCCCAGGGCTGATAAGTAGCCCTTTTGGTAAATGCTGAAAAATAGAAGAAATTATTAAAAGATGAAAGTGGGGAAAGGCTTCAGAAAGGGACCTTCGTCCCCAAGGGAACCCAGAGTAAATGAAAATAGGTCAAAAACAGATAAAATGGCTGAGTGCTGTGGCACATGCCTGTAATTCTAGCAGCTCAGGAGGCTGAGGCAGGAGGATCGTGAGTTCAAAGACAGCTAAGCAACTCAGTGAGATCCTGTCTCTAAATAAAATAGAAAAAAGGACAGGGGATGTTGCTCAGTGGTTGAGTGCCACTGAGTTCAATCTCTGGTACCAAATAATAAAAAACAACAACAACAACAACAATCCACCAGATAAAATGGGGGACTATGCTTTTAAATACTACTTACTACTACAGTGCTAAACTTGAATATTTGTCTTTATCTTTCATGAATAGAGTCATATACTTCCACTCTTCCTCTGCCCTACCATCTTCTCCAAAAGAATTTTCCCTTGGGAGAAGCTGGGGTGTGGCTCAGTGGTGGAGCACTTGCCTAGCACATGTGAGGTCCTAGGTTCAGTCCCCAGCACCACAAAACACATCCCACCCACCAAACACAAAAAGTGTCTCTTAATCCTGACACCCTCCCTGTCTTCTGCTCTTCATTTTCCACGTCTTTGCTTTTTGCTTTCTAATGTCCCCCTGAAATTTCCTTCTCTCTCACACACACTCTTCTCTGTGTGTGAAAATTCTGCCAGACTTCTCAGCCATTCCAGGAATGAGTCTTTTCTAGCCTTTTCTTCCCCTGTCCTCTCGGCAGCCTTTAATACCATGGATCATCCCCTCCCTTGCTGGTTCCTTTCTTGACCAATATATCATCGAAGAAATCAAAGTTAGCAGTGTTTGGATTTAAAATGTGTGTGGGAGTTATGTTTGGGTTAAAACTAATTTCAGGCACAATGGAAACTGCACCTTGGGGGTCTCAAACTTGTTTATCAACAGAAGAGCTCATGATTATCTATCTATCTATCTATCGATTGATCTATCTATCTATCTCTATTATCTATGGTCTATCTCTCTATATGTACATTTGTGCAGCATTATTGCTCCCTCATCTCTTATCCACACAAGTTCCTAAAGTGATATATTATAAAAGAAAAATTGAAACATGTCACCTTGCCATATAACAATTATAGCACATTGTCATCGTTTTAGATTACAGATCCACATCCTTAGCATTGATCACTGGTGCTGACCTACCCTCCATCCTTCAGGACTTCCCTTTGCTCTTTTTAAGTTATTTTATCTGTTTTAAATGCTCTCTATATGCCACCTTCTATATAAGATGCTCCTTATATACCTTAGCTTGTAAGATACCTTCTGTCTGAAATATTATCTTCTCCTCATCCAAGGCACCTGAGTTCTTGTGGCCACATTTTCATCTGATTTCTCTTCAAAATTTCACTTCTGAAAAAAATATTTAAAAAATTAAAAACCCCCCAAAACTGAAAAAAGGAGAAAATTTACTTCTAATTTATCTCTGTTCTGTCCTCTCATTTCCACACTAGCCCAATGAGTGTATTAATTCACTCAATACTATCTGCATCAAGCTTTAATAAATATATAAATATAATGGGTGATGGAAATTTATCTCAGAAGCCCAGACCAAACTGTATAAAATGGAATATTAGAAATCCCTGTTGTGAGTTCTTTGGCCACCCCATCATTATTCATTTCTTGCTGGCTGACATTTCTCTTCAACCTTTACCATGTTGCTGTTCTGCTCAGCATCCCCTTATTCCTTTCTTTTGTCTCCATTTTTTCCCCTTCCCCTCAAATTCCCATAAACTGCACATGCCAGGTAGTTTAGGTCTTTCTTTGCTATGCCTCACTATACTCATAACCAAAACATGATATTATTCACTCTTTGAGAGGCACTCTATGCTGCCTTTTACAACAAAATTATTTCCTCGTGTCACAGTGATATCAGCATTTAATTACAGCCACACTCAATACGTCACAACAATCACTGACCCCTCTGTCCTCCTTACTCAGCTTATTCAATCATTCTTGTCGTGAGTTCAAGTTATGATGTTAAAGAAAAAGATATTACCACTAGGTGGCAGTAGCACCCCACAAGCTTCTTTTGGGTGGTGCTTTGACAGGTTTTCTGCGGCAGGTGTCACTCATGGCAGGAGGCTTTCCAAATGCAACTGCATTGGAGCCACCATCTAGAAGGGTAGGAGGGCAGATGGACTCTTGGGGGTGGGAGGATCAGAGAGGGAGTCTAGGAGATGTGACTCAGCAGCATGGAGGGGAAACATAGGTGTCAGAGAAGGCTGAAGGCAACAGCAGCTTGGCCCCTCCGTAACCCCCCACGGTGGACAACATGAGTATACAAATGACCATAGAAGAAGCTCCTCTGTGGATCATGAGAAGAACATCCACTTTCTCTTTTAGATCTGATGTTGTAGGAGAGCTTCTAATGGGACTTGAAAGACAGGTCCTGAGAAAGGGATGGGATTTGGAGGAAAGAGAGTAATTATGCATTGCTAGGTTTTCAAGCCCAGAGTGATTTTAAAGCATAGTGATACACCAGTCAATGCAGGAAGAAATAGCAGCAGAATAGGGAGGAGCAGACGGGGACTATACAGTAGGTCTTAAGAAGCCACCATGGCACTTGTTTTGAGCAGCTAGATCTGGGATACTGGAGGGGTGCACTTGTGGAGGTGATCCCCAAGCAATGAAAAATGCCTGGGGATGAGGGTGAAATGTGCTCAGATAAGAGCTGGTGTCTGAGATCCTGATTTGGGGATAAATCCAGAGACTTAAAATATATTACATTCAGAGCAAAGCTACCTCTGGAGAAAATGTTACATGAGAAAATCATGTGCAATCTTGATGTGTGTCTACATGCCAGGTGGTAGAGGAAGAGCTAAAAAAAAAATGAGACCATAGCTATTGAGTTACCTGGTAAATAGAGGTGTAATGAGAGGCAGGTAGGGTGAAGGTAGAGTAGGAGGTGGATTCTACCATGCAAATCCACTTCAGACCACCCTTCAAAGTCTGGCATGAATCTTAGCCAAAGGGGTTCTTTTGTAAGTGAACTCTGAAAGCTTCTTATGTCTGTTTCACGTTGAACTCCTTTTTTTCTCTCTCTCCAAAACAATTGTAAATCTCTAGCTATGTGATAAGAATATACTTTCTAGATGCCAGGAATGTGGGGAGATATAAGACCCAACCCTATTTTAGGGAATCTATCAGAGAGTCACTGTGAGCCAGGATCACTAAATATGAAGGCTGTTCCTACCTAAAGTGGTCCTTGGGGGTAGAATGCTGACGAGGATGGAGAGAGCCACAGGTAGGAGGGAGCATGGAGAGGAGGCAATAGAGCAAACAGAAGACTCAAAAGACACAGTGCTTGAGGAGCATCTTAAGGAATGAGGTGCAAAGGGGAAGGGATGGGGAAAGGAGAAGGAGCTCTAATGCCAGAGAGTTTGGCTTGAGCATCAGTGTGTGGGGGTGTAGGTGTGTACACGTGTGTCTGCTTATGTTTGAGTGTATCTGCATGAGCAGCACTATAGGCTTTCTATCATCACAGGGTATTATTCTCTGCATCCATTCTTTATCAGTTATTTTTAGTAGTAGCAGGAAATTCAGTAATTCTAAACCCGATTTTCATGCA